TGAAAGGTATTCAGTCCAACCCACTGCCCAAAATCTGAGTGTAATTTTCTCACTGTAGCTTGAAAGAGTGTTGTTTTGTATTGTAAATTGTTGATTTGCAGGATTGTAGCTCTAATTTCTGATTTTTTTCCAGCTCATTGATAGAACCATGTCAATGAAAAGTGTGGGATTTTCAAGTACTGACTTCTGGGCCATCATGAAGTTTCTGCAAAAGAAAACCCCAAAGGAAATAAATGGCTACATGATGCAAACATTAAGTGACAAATACTGAATATATTCAAATGTGAAGTGATGTGCCAGCTTTCAACATGGAGATCTTACGACTGAAGATGCAGCAAGGTCTAGGAGACCTTCAACACTGTCACCTCTTGAAATTATTGAATGGGTTCATGATTTGATTTTGACAGATCAATGAATCTCAGATACAATAATTTCCAAGTTACTAGAGATGTTCTGGAAATACCTTGGGTTCATAATTCCTGAGCAGTTGGCTGTGCAGAAGCCATCAGTATGAATGCTGAGCAAATACTTACAAGTTGATTTTGCAGCATTTTGAACAATCTAGTGATAATTTTCGGGAATAACTCATCACTATTGATAAAACATATATACACCAATATGATCCGGAGACCAAACGACAGTCCTTGCAGTGGCAGCACTCGGGGACTCCACGGCTGAAGAAATTCAAGATTTAAAGGTCAGCAGGAAAGGACCTAGCCACAGTTTGCCATGGAGGTGAGTTACCACAAGAATGACCACAGTACAGATGTACAGTTGGAAGGAAAAGGCCACAACTTTATTGACAACAGCTGTAAAGTAGGTGTGGCCCTCAAAGCATGAGATCTGGATCTGTCATCAGTCAATCCTTGATTGATCAATGAACCCATTTGCTTGGTCACAGCCAAGCTTCAGGATGACAAAGGGGTGACTGGTTAAACTCCCACCCACATCTCAGGTAACTGGTTGATCACATATTTGCATCTCTGCCCCTTGTCAATGGGGGATGCTGGATCTGTGTTGCCCTGGCAATGGCAACACTACAATACTGTCAGCACCCCAGGGTCCCCAATGGACTCCCTATCCAGTGCTATGCAGCCCTGAAAACCACTCCCACCAGATCCAAGACTTATGCTATCGCCACTGAAAGCTGTCCCCCACCCCACCCATTGGATGCCTTCTGCCAACCCTATGGAGCTGTGATCCCACCCTCAAAAGTGTCCAGAACAAGAGTCATTCCGGGATGGATGTAGCCCATATAAGCCCCATATTTCCACCTGGCCAGTCTTTTTATATTCCGTCGGCAAGCTGCATCCCGCTGCCGAAGTGGTGGCCCCAATGCAAAATGTGTAACCCCCAAAGTCCTCAGGCAGCAGCTCCACATGCTGTAAAGCCAAACAAAGCACTGACACCACCTGGAATCATGTCAGCGGTGACTTATCACTGTGGGTGAACAGAGGGCCTTCATTCTGGAGGCGGGACACCACATATTTGCATAAAGTCCATACTGAGCAGAGATGGGAGCCGTGGAGTGGTTGCAGAACAATGGAGGATCTCCTGGCATACTGGTCACATTTGGACCTGCGAAGAACTAAACTAACAGTGTTTCCAGTGAAAGAAACATCCTTCCTCTGCAGTGCCTACTTGGAGTCATCCGACTTGGATGAAGGCACAAGCTCGCCCACCCTCAGTGCCCCAAAGAAAGTAGTGATGAAGGCAGTTCTGAACAGGCTGGCCTCAGCCTTGGAGGTGCAAACCCAGTCCAGCTGTTCAGAGACCCTGGAGGATAACTTGAAACAAATAGGCCTCCTGCCATTTCCACTGCCCATAAACATCCTCCTTCAGCCCTCCAATGTTCTCCTAACCAGGAGGATATACAAGAGTCCCAGAACCCCCAACCTTGGAGAAGAAGGAAATCCCAGCCAAGTGGACCACCATGGTCCAGGGTGCAATCCCAGCCCCCTCAACCAAACCAGGAATTGAATCATAGTGCTAGACCATAGTGACCAGTGACCCCAGAGGCCTGATGCCCCCCAAAACAGAGAGCTTGGAGATAGCTCTTTAATAGGCTTTTAGAGTGGCTGGAACCAGCGAAGACAGGACGCCCAGCATCACAGCAGATTTCCAACCTCTCACACTTCCTCCAGGAAGGGCATGGGTGAGGGGTCTGCTCTGGGTGTCAGCTGGTGAAACCTGGCCTCCTGGAAACAAGAGATAGAGAGAGTGTGTCTGCTATGTTATTTTGGAGGCCCGGAATGAAACGGGCCTTGAATGTGATGTAGTTGTGAAGACAATGGAGCACAAAATGGCGGACCAGAAGCATGACTCTCTCAGACCTGGAGCTTTGGCAGTTGAGGATCTTGACAACTGCCTGGTTGTCACACCAAAAACATACCGCTTTGTTGGCAAATTCCCCACTCCACATGTGAGCTGCTACCACAATGGGAAACAGCTCAAGAAAAGTGAGGTCATGCAGGATCCCTCCTTAAGCCCAGCTGGCAGGCCAGTGTTGGGCATACCAATGTCCCTGGAAGTATACCTCAAAGCCCAGGCTCCCAGAAGCATCCGAATGTACCTGAAAGCCATGGCCCAAGTCCCATGGCTGCTACCATAGGGAGACCTCATTGTAATCTCTCAGGAACCCCTCCCACAAGCTGAGGTCATGTTTGATGCCCTTGGTGAAGAGGGTGTGATGGTGAGCCACTTTGACCCCTGTTGTGATCCTGGCCAGTTAAGGGCCCAGTGAAATCACCCTGCACGTGAAACTGAGGTGACCCAAAATGGATCTCTTTTCAGGGGGCCTGGGGGGGGGGCAAGAGGGTGGTCTGTATCTTAGAGCAGAGGGCCTGGAGCTTGTCTTCAGGCAGGCGAGAAACACCAGCCACCAAGTCCAGCTGTATTCTGAGGTAAGTCCGAATAGTACTCCAACTTGCTGTGCTGATTAAAGAGGTATTGAAGGAATAACAGCAAGGAAAAGGTACTCTCTTTTTGTCAGACAATGCACCTGCAAGATGATAGATGTTTTGAAGAATTTAAAGTCTG